TTCTCGCTGCCTCCGGCGGCCGACATTCCCGGCCGCTACAAAATTGGTGACCCGAACGCTTCAACGAACACGCCGCGATGAGCTCCGACGACAACGCTGCTGCCTCCCCGCCTGCGGTCATCGCCACAGAACTGAAGCTACCGAATTTTTGGCCGAAAAATCCAAGAGTTTGGTTCAGCCAAGTAGAGACCCGTTTTCAGCTCCGGCACATCACCTCGCAGTCGACAAAATACCTTCACGTCGTCGCAGCCCTGCCCCCCGAAATCGCCGACGCTATCGACGACATTTTGGTTTCACCCCCCGTGCAAGAAGGATATGACACCCTCAAAAAGACGGTGCTGGACCGCCTCGAGGCGCCTGAAGAAGGCAGACTGCAGCAGCTCTTGTGTCACGAAGAGCTGGGCGACCAACGACCTTCCCAACTGCTGCACCGTATGCGGCAATCTACTCGGTGTGCGCGCGCGTCAGGACGGCCAGCTCCCACTTCTTCGTGAACTTTTCCTGCAACGGCTTCCCCAGTCGGTGCGCGTGGTTCTCGCGGGTTCAAATGAGACGTCCCTTGATCAACTAGCGCAACTTGCCGATCGCATCACGGAATACTCAACTCCAACCTTTGCGCCCATAGCTGCTGCAAGAACACATGAGCAACCAGATCGACTGTCGCGCCTTGTGGAGAAACTGCAACACCTTACCGAGACCATGCAAAAACTTGTGCTATCTGGCGCTCCCCAACAGGACGAGCAATGACGCAACCGATCCCCTTCAAGACACCCAAGCTCTTCCCAGAGAAGCCATGCACGAGATACACAGGACGGAGTTTGCTGGTACCACCGTCGTTTCGGCACAGGTGCTAGCCGCTGCACTCAACCTTGCTCGTTTCCGGGAAACGCTCCGGCCAGTCTTTCACGGCGGCTTACGACATCGGCCCTCCACCCAGCCGCCTGTTTTTCGTAGTCGACCGCGTAAGCAACTCGCGCCTGCTAGTCGACACGGGAGCCGAAATCTCTATTGTCCCGGCAACCCCCGAGGATCGCCGACGTAGCAAGAACACATCGTCGCTGCAGGCAGTGAACAACACTGCCATCGCTACGTACGACTTCCGCTCACTGACTATAGACGTCGGACTCAGGCGCCTGTTTAGCTGGGTCTTCGTGGTGGCGGATGTCAATTTCGCCATACTCGGAGCAGATTTTCTCAGCCACTTCAACCTGGATGTGAGCGTACGTGACCGTTGCCTCAAGGATAACAACACATTCCTCAAAGTACGTGGTTTGGAGTCAAACCTCTGCTCATCTGGCATCTGCGCCTTCCAGCCAGTATCAGCCTACCACCACGTCCTGGCCGAATTCCCCTCGCTCACCAAGCCCCGCAACACGGAACAGCCGGTGAAACATAACGTGACTCACCACATCGTCACCACCGGGCCGCCAGTCACTGCCCGGCCACGACGGCTGTCCAGCAAAAGGCTTCAAGCTGCACGCAGGGAGTTCGAGCATAAGCTGCAGCTGGGAATTGTTCGCACTTCGTCTAGCAACCATTCATCGCCGCTACACATGGTGCCTAAGGACGACGATTGGCGCCCGTGTGGGGATTACAGAGCCTTGAACGCATCGACAACGCCGGACCAATATCCTCTGCCACACATTCACGATTTCAGCGCGCGGCTGGCAGGTACAAAAATATACAGCAAGATCGACCTTGTAGCGGCATACCACCAAATCCCCGTCGAACCGCAGGACATACCAAAAACAGCCATAACAACTCCGTTCGGCCTGTTTGAGTTTGTCCGCATGCCCTACGGCTTGAAAAATGCCGCACAGACCTTTCAAAGGTTCATGGATGAGGTCACCCGGGGTCTTCCTTTCATCTTTGTCTACCTGGATGACATTTTGGTGGCCAGCAGAACGCCTGCGGAGCACGAAGAGCACCTCCGCCAGCTCTTTCAGCGTCTGGATGAGCATGGTCTGGTGTTGAAACCTCAAAAGTGCGTGTTTGGAGTAGAGGCGCTCAACTTCCTCGGCCACCACATCACTGCTGAAGGCATTATGCCATTGGAATCGAGGGTGGAATCCGTCAAAAAGTTTCCAGCTCCAACATCTTTTCGCAAGCTGAGGGAGTTCCTCAGGCTCTTAAACTTCCACCGGCGGTTCATTCCGTCTTGTGCTCGAGTGCTCCAGCCATTGACCGACCTGCTGCGCCGAGACGACCAAAAGGCACCAGAATTTTGTTGGTCTGACGAACACCAGAACGCCTTCCAGAAAGCTAAGGACGAGCTAGCCGCGGCTACCCTCCTCATTCATCCACGGCCTGAAGCTCCTACACGCCTCATGGTGGACGCTTCCTCCACATCGGTCGGAGCAGTGCTGCAGCAACAGGAGGGCGCCCAGTGGAAGCTACTGGGCTTCTTTTCGAAACGCCTGAAGCCTGCAGAAGCACAGTACAGCACTTTTGGAAGGGAGATGCTCGCAATCTATTGTGCCATTAAGCATTTCCGCTACTTCCTCGAAGGCCGTGAGTTCTACATCTTGACAGACCACAAGCCCCTCACCTACGTATTCAAAAACAACAGTTCCTCCTACTCAGAACGAGAGATCCGTCAGCTCTCATTCATCTCCGAGTTTTCTACAGACATCCGCCACGTTCCCGGGGTCGAAAACGAAGCAGCTGACGCCTTGTCTCGCGTCAACGCTTCCGGCACAGAAGTCCTGGACTTCGAAAGCTATGGCCGCAGCTCAGCGAGACGACCACGAGTTGACAAGACTGAAGGGAGGGGGATCTTCACTCGTGCTCTCGGAGGTTGCACTTCCCTACGTCCAGAGCACGATAACCTGCGATACCTCCCAGGCAGCACCACGACCTTTCGTCCCACTGAACTTTCGCCGAGTAGTATTCAACACTTTCCACTCCATCAGCCACCCAGGTGTCCGCGCCACCCAGCGGCTGATAACGCAACGCTTCGTTTGGCCCGGAGTCAACGCGGACGTGCGACGATGGGCTCGGACATGTGAAACGTGTCAGCAAGTGAAAGTGACTCGCCACAATCGGGCTGCACTACAGGAATTTCGGACTCCTGAGTCGCGGTTTGACCACGTTCACCTCGACCTCGTGGGACCACTACCGCCTTGCCAAGGATTTAGGTACCTGCTCACATGCATCGACAGGTACAGCCGGTGGCCCGAAGCTATACCAATTGCGGACATATCAGCTGAGACCGTCGCGCAGGCCTTCATTCAAACATGGGTGTCCCGCTTTGGCTGCCCCGCCCGCATAACAACTGACCGGGGACGGCAATTCCAGAGCAACCTCTTTTCCGCACTTTCAACGCTCCTCGGCACGAAGCTGCAGCATACAACCACCTACCACCCCGCCAGCAACGGAATGGTTGAGCGCTTCCACCGGCAACTCAAAGCCGCACTGGCAGCGAAACTCGACCACCAGCCCTAGGTGGAGAAGCTCCCGCTCGTTCTTCTTGGCCTACGCTCAACAGTGAAGGAAGACCTTGGCTTCAGCGCAGCGGAAATGGTCTACGGCTCAACAGTGCGCCTCCCGGGAGAATTCTTCTCCGACCAGACACCTGTCGCCCCAACAGCCTCCGATCACATCGAGAAGCTGCGCGCATGGCTCGCGCAACTCAGGCCAACAGCACCTCGCATCGCCCGCAACAGGAAAGTTTTCACTTTTCCTGACATGGACTCTGCTACCCATGTGTTCGTGCGACACGACGCAACGAAGCCGCCCCTTACTCCGCCGTAGGATGGCCCATTCAAAGTTTTGGGACCTACTAACAAAACCATCACAATCGACGTGCGGGGGAAACGAGAAGTCGTCGCCGTTGACCGCGCCAAGCCTGCTCATATTGAGGTTTCCATTCAAGGAGCCTCTCACGTACAATTTCAGTGCTAACCAGTGGACTGTGACCTTTCACTATTCAGTCCGTAACTGCTGTCCTTCTTTAAAAGCTCCGCAATCTAGGGGGGGGGGGGGGAGCCTTTGTAGCGGAAGCTGCTCAGCACCACCGCATTCTTTTCTATCCCGTCTGCAGCCGGCCGTCGACAGCGCGCCTACTCGCGGCGCCAGCGCCTCCTCCTCCGTGTTCGGGGAACAACGTGTTGTCGGCGCCGGCTCCGGCGATTAGCACCGGCGGCATGTTACGTCTGCTCGCTCGAGGGCCCCCTTTTCCTCTTTCTTGTAGAAGAACGCGGGGGTGCCTCCTTCTCTCCCTCGTCGAGGGGAACTCTCGTCACTCGCACGGAGTGGAAATAAACAGTCTTGCCCTGCAACTCCAAACCAGCTTCACGTCTCCTTTCTCGCTGCCTCCGGCGGCCGACATTCCCGGCCGCTACAATAGCAACTCTGAACTTCGTAAGACAGAGACCCAATCTTTTTTCTGCCCCATTAGCACTCTGGCTATTTGCTTCTTTTTTACCCTTCTCAGCCTTGCCGGAAAGCCCAAGGACCCACAAGCGTGTTTATTCGACGGTGGACACTTAAATTACAATGACAGAATAAAAAAGAAGAGACTGTATTTGGCCACCCTGCGGGAACAAAAAAAAATGCATTGCTGTTCCAAATCATTGGCGCCTTTGTATCTGCGTAAACAGAAACATACCTGCTTTCTGTCAAAGTTTATTTTGCCTATATTTACAATGTGAAGATATTAAACAGTGTTTTTCTGCCTGTTCTTGGCACCTAAATGGCGGTCTTTAGTTCCTATATATCCGTCCTCTGGTCATGAGCACAAACCAGGTGGCTGTTATGCATAAAGTCAGATAGTCTTGTACTGTGCGCATTAAACAGCTAAAGCGTTGCTTCAATAACTTGATATGGAATTGAGTAATACTTCCCCAGTCCTACTGCGGCAGCCACAATAAGTACCAGCGCTGCAGCACTGGCACAAAGTGGGCGCCCACCTTCAAACGTAAATCACTGATGTCTTAAGCTAGGTAGCAATAGTGAAGACGTCCACATAAAAAACACCCAAAATCAAAGATACCGCTTACCAGAGCAATCTTGTCTGGATCCACGAGCAACTTTTTTTTCGCCAGAGTGTAGAAAGAACACAAAGGAATGGTGATGTCTGGGTATGGCGAGTAGATAATGTTGTCTTCAATGTGAGCCTTCATCTTCCAAGTATTGGACTTTCTGTGGAACCTAAAAAATGATAAAGTTATACACGTTACCGAATGACCTTTGGATAATTATTGCAAACAACTTGCTGGGCAACACAAAATTTTCCCCAACACAGGCAGTGTCGCTATTCTTGTTAAACGTGCTGTAGGACACTTTGATTTAAAAATATTGCGATCTCATTGACGTGGTTATTTCTTCAGCGTTGATTTGCATATAGGCAGTTTGCACAGAGGCACTTGCATTGAAGACGTTTTATTGGAGCGTTCATGAGATACCAGTGACATCATGCTTTTTTTTACTTGGCAAACTACGTCAATTTTCTACATTGATTACTAAAACAAATGTATTTTTTGCATTCTTGCCCCGAAAACGCTTTACTCGGTTTCTATGTTGGACGGCTGTCTAGCACAAACATTACCGTTCTCATAACACGTTTTTTTTTCATAGAAGTTTCCTGCTTGCACAATATTTGACCGAAATTCTTGCACGGCTCAAAACCGTCCGTGTGACTGCATCTTCACTCCTTTTGATGTTGCACTTTTTTCATCGACCTTAACTTGTCTTAACTTGCTGACATGGTAAATGCCAAGCAGTTCTTAGCAAACACAACACACTTTCAGCGTATCTATCTATCTATCTATCTATCTATCTATCTATCTATCTATCTATCTATCTATCTATCTATCTATTCAGCTAACTAGCTTACTAGACAGCTAGCCTTTTACTTCTTGGTCATGTTGTGAATGTTTCATTAACATGATTTAGACCGAAATTGGCAGGGTAGGCTATGACCGTAAGACAAATGTGACTGTCTGCTCACGACATGAATAACGTTAAAATGCTGTTCATTATATCGTCCGGACGCACATGGTACATGTGTTTATACCACGTGCTGTGGTACACTGTAAGTGCATAGGGCGATTCACCTAGCAAGTGTAGTGGAGAATACGCACGAACGTGTATGCTTCTGTAAACTGGCCATATCAAATTGGCATGCATCGTCCATTCTACAATCGATAATTCTGCTGCTATAGTGATAGCTGCGTTGTCGCATTCCTTGTCAAGTGATGCCAGTTTAGACTGCAGGTGGGGTACTTTCTCCACTTCTGTCCCACTTCAAGCGGGACATCCTCTCGCACAATCAGAACGCGGGGTTTTTGGACCTCTTTCACAGGCGCTTACACGTTAGTTCACTTGCTTCACTACACAAAAAAAAAACCCGCGAGAACGCAGATTTGTTACTGTTTTATATGCAAGGACGTTAAGGAAACTGACGCCGCCAGTGTAGACTCAAGAAATTCACAGAATGAATAACCGCTTCAAGCTTTTGCTAAGCCACGTAGAGCTTGATACACGACGAAATTGATCGGTCTCTCGCTTATTTCTCGCGATCCGCGCTCACAAAGTATCGCGCACAGTCACGTTAGCGCTATCATACAACTGTTCGAGTTAACATTCTCGGCGACAAAATGTACTGCTTACTTCTTTGTGGAAACATTGTTACTTAGGAATAAATGCTGCAGAACACTTTCTAAATGAGCATTACATACCAAAGTATCCAATATTTATTGGGGTTTGTTTCTAAACAGAAGCAAAATAGGTGCATAAGAGGGCTGTGTGTGTGCCTTTGTGTGCTTTTAAAATGTAAATATACATGCTTCCAGTGGAACAAATAAACATGCCTGAAAAGGCAGAAATACACACGAGCACGCCTTTGCGATGTTCAGTTGGCAAAGAGAGAACAGAAGATGCCGGCTGATGTCACTGCGAAGTTGAAAAGTGGATCGGGTGGTCACGCTGACTCTTCCGTATGCCTTTGAAAACCGCCGCAACTGGCGGCTATGCTCCTTGATGTATTAGGCATAATTGTGGTTGTTTTTCGCTACTTTTCTAAAATGAGTTGCGCCCCATCTTCTTTTCATGTACATGACCACCACACGGCAAGCTTGGAGTAAACACGTGCTCTCGGAAAGCTCGCCACACGCTATGGTTACCACCAATCCCCAAAGGAACAGCATGGTGTCGGAGATCGTGGTGGACCTCACCAATCAACTGTGACAGAAAACGTAAGCGCGGAGTGGCGGCTGTACGGTGTGCCGCAGAATCGCAGGTCACCTCCGCCCGCGGCCTAGGTCATTCGTCAACTCACAGTGAATGAACGCATCGTCGCTAGCGTTGTCGGCTTTTTGAATTCACTTGAAGGTGCGGTCGCTGAACTATTTTGAGCCGAACTTCGCACGGGCGATCGCTATGACGGTGGTACGCATGTCGTTGAAGGCCAGGGCTCAGCTTTCCTTATTTCATCACAGGCAGGTATTACTTGGAATGAATCACTTCTACCCTTCAGTCGTTGTGACCTTCGAAATAAATGTGGTCGCCGCCATGGGCGGCTTATATACAAGCCAGAAAAAATCGCTCACTTCACTCCATGCTTCAGAAAATGAATATGCTTGCCCTCAGATATAGCAAGGTAGGCATACTGAAAGAAGCGTGTAATTTGTTCGGTGTAAATAAATCCAGATGTTTTCGTTCGGGAGCAGTACACGAATCTTAAGCAATTATTTTGGTTGTTTCCTTTTTAGTGACGCTTGCGAAAGTGTCCATGAATGCAGTGCATAATAAGTACCATTTATTAACAGGTACGATATAATAAGTACCCCTCTGTTAAGGGGCCATATCCTGAAGGACTGTTCAAGGAAGAAATAGCACTGCTTAACCATTTCACTGCACTTCCACTTGTTAAACTTGGCTATCCGGTTGTATGCTTTTACGAGTTCTGGGTGCCTGCCCGTTGGTGCGCAGCGATAGGCACTGTTATTTGTTGCTGTATTACAACTGTAGCGAGCAACGCAGTGGCTGTAATCGTGGCTTTGTTGCTATCTTGACTTATCAGGTAGGGTTTCTTTTTCAAATGCGACGAATTCGTTAGCCAGCTTAGGCTGATTCGATATAATCTGTCTATCTATCTATCTATATATATATATATATATATATATATATATATATATATATATATATATATATATATATATATATATATATATATATATATATATATATATATCTGGTTGACATTATGGCAGTGTTTTCACGACATATTGGTGGATGTGTTGTATACAAAGTTAGCATGGTAAAACATGACTCTATGTAAAACATCCAGATAACTTGCATAATGAAAAACAAGGGTGATTCCTCGCTGAGTCCAGGACATTAGAGATGCTCTACAGAAGGTTATAAACCTAAAAGAGATAAGTGCAATTGGACAGTTCCATGTGCCATGTGTTTGGATGGTCACTTGAAAGTTGATGTTAGCGAAAGCCAAACTTGTAGTCAGTAAAGTTATGGCTAAGCACCATCGCTGCCTTGCCAAATCCAGGTGTCAGTAGACATCACGATGAAGCTCCTGTGGCTTCTAGAACGGTAGAAAGATATATACATACGTGAAGCACTTCAACCTTTTGGCAAAATGTTTGAGTTTGAAGTTTAAGTTTGAATTGACTTTATTGCGCAACAAAGTTGCAAGGAGACCAGGCGATAAAGCTGCACTGAGAAGCTTAAGGGGAACCTCGCAAGCAACATAAATAAAAAATACAAGCTACAAAAGAAAGCTGTTTGATATATAGCAAACGTCGACTACTATGTCACACAGTGTTGAACATTTGAAGCGCCTAAATATTGTCCCGATTAAGAAGTATTGCACCAATTCGCTAGCAACCAGATACAAGCAATCTGTTTTTCACAACAACCGCATCTTCTCAAACATATTTGTATTGGAAACCTACACTACTTGTTACCCTATTCGCCACCTAAAACACTGGAACATTATATTGTGTCAAACATATTTTGGGTTAAAAGTGCTGCGTTTTATTGTTCCCTTGTTACTGAATTAGCTAATTAAAACAAAAATAACTGTCGAGAAAAGCGCACGTGTTATAAGAAAGACACTTTTAATGACAATCAAGTGACTGAGGTTTGCTTAAACTATTTTTTTATGTGTTCAAAAAGCTGTTGCTTCGTGTGAATGTAATATTTGTGTTATGTTATATGTAGCATAGCCTTACGAAATCCATCGAGCTAGAAACTGCTCATGTTTATTAGCCATTCGTGCATGAAATATTTCATGTACATATCTCCACTTGTACTGCGCTCTTTTTTTCACGCTCTTGTTTTTAGCAGTTTTTTTTCAACCATAATCTATGTCTTCATTGCTTTCAATGTATTAGAGAGGCTTGGGTTCTTCTTAAGTGGAAAACGCCACTTTTCTCCCGAGCTTGCTCTCATCATTTCAGATGAAATGAAAATGAATTGATTTGAAGTGGCCACCTTGCACACTGAACGGATTACAGTGGTTTAAAGTATGCCATATATGCAATCCATAAACAGAGCAGAAAGAAACAGTAAAATACTCAGTGAGAAATAATGAAGAAAGATGTATTATATATTTATTTGAAAAATAAAAAAAAGATACCAGTCAGTGACGAAGGCAGCAGAAAAAAAAAGCAGACGAGCCTATGGCAGCACATGTAATCTTACAAATACCTCACGTAAGATTGTTAACGACACAGTGGAATCATTAAAACCATTTTATTTGTGTAACCGATCTAAATTATCGGTAAACAAACTGCAAGACTTGGTCACCGTATGCAGTTTATTTTTTGTTGAAGTTATAGGGTTTTAAATCACAAAATGTATAGAATACTTAGTTGCTGCCGTGATGCCATTTGAATTTGAAAGTCATCATTCTTCAATTTTCCCACTCTATACATGCGATAAAGTCTATCTCTGTACAAACATTTTTTCTATGGTACCATGCTTTGTGTACATAGGAGAAGTATGCCAATGATTTGGCACCCTGGAAACAAAGTGTAGGGCTCTTTTTTGTAGTACCACGGGTCGGTGAATATTTTCGGCTACAGTAATCAGAGTGAATCGGCGTGTAGAGGACGTGGAGGACATGCAGACCTTGAATCATGAACTCGTGCTCTCGTTAGGCGATTGCGTCATTGTTGTGGCAGTTTTCG